GGAATAGCGAATTTTTGCCTACAAACTCCGATGTACTCAAGTTTTACACTGCCACTGTTCTAGTTAAGTAGGTTGCGGCACCAAAGGGCTAATTACATTAAATTACATTAAATTATGTTAAATTATATAGTTTTTTAAATGATTCCTGGATCAAAGCAGATCTGTCTCAAAGAGAAAAAATAGTGGATGTTTGGGATTGTTTTTTTTCAGAGGCCTCACAAGTCATCCCTTTCAATATTAAAGTTCTTTGTAGACGTTGGCAAACATATAGGTGTAAGCGATTCACTGGATTCAACATACTTAAATTAACAGCAAGCTTTTGACAAGATTCTGCAAAGACCATTAAAAGAACTAAGCTATCATGACATGAGTGAATGACTTCTCATGCCATAACCAGAACAACAACAACAAAGAAAATGGGGAACAACCCTGGAAAACAACAGTAATCTTTACTGAATCCTATTTTGTTCAAGAGTTACCTAAGTAATTTGTAAAGATGGTAAGAAACAACGTGTTTATTGATGACAGAAATTATTCAGGATAATCAAAATAATGACAGACCACATAGAATGGTAGAAAAAATTTACAGCATAGCAACAATAAAATGGCAGATGAAATGGAAATGGAATGGAAATTAATATACAGGGGGGAAATACAACAGGCACTGCACTATCTATTATGACTCCTGAAAGAGGAGTTATGGATATTTCAATGAAAATATTAGCTCAAGGAATAGAATCAAAATGTCATTACATTATCTCATAAATCCAGCCATAATGACAGCATCTCCAAAAAACATGATCGAACTAAAAATGATAAAGAAAAGTGTGACGACACCACAGCCGTGGATCAGCTTCTGAATGTGGACATTAATAGGCTATGAGTCTTCTATTGAGAAAATAAATTATTTTGAAATTTATAAAATGAAATAACTGCATATAGAAACATAAATGAGTTTAGTAAGTGATCATCTGTAAGCAAACATGGTAGGTTTAGCTACGCTTCTACCATGAACTGAGGGTGCTGGATCAACTTATCACACAGAAGTTTTCTTCACTGAATGGAATTTTTTGTCTGTTTATAAATAGAAATGTGTTTCAGTGTGACAGAAATTAAATTCTAGAATACATGAATTCTGTAAGAAAATATACTTATTTCAAAAGTAGGATTGGATTAAAAACCAATTAAATTGAACAAGGTTTTATCTGAGCCTGTTACATATGAAGGGCTTGGTGTTCAATTGTCAGTTCAGAATATCCCTGAATCATTGGCTGTGGCAGGGTTTTAACTCCCTCTCTTCTTTCACCTTTTTCCTCCATACTAGCTCTCACCTGTGGTGGCTTCTTACTAAGGCTGGTAGCACATATAGCCCAAAATCAAGGTGAACCCAAAATGAAACAGAAACTGTAACCTGAATTTTGTGTGGTATTGCTAATGAAACTATTTTTGCCAATATTCACTTTTTCCCCTAGCCATTGTCCTCTACCCTACTTCGTATCATTACCTTGCATCCATAGAATTCTCATTAATGGCTACTTTATAGAACCCTTGAACCATAAAATGGTTTGGGTTGGAAGGAACCTTACACATTATCTGGCGTCAACCCCCTTGCCATGGACAGTTTCCACTAGAGCAGGTTGCTCAAAGCCCCATCCAACCTGGCTCTGAATACTTCCAGCGAGGGGACACCCAGGTGGGGGTCTCACAAGAGTGAAGTGAAGGGAGAGAATTACCTCCCTCAACCTGCTGGCCACACTTGATGCACCCCAGGATGCGACTGCCTTTCTTCACTGTGAGCACACATTCCTGGCTTATATTGATTTTTTCACCCACCAACACCTTGAAGTCCTTCTCTCCAGGGCTGCTCTCAATGGACTCATTGCCCAGCCTTTGTCTGTGCTTTGGATTGTGCAACAGCCTCTCCTTGTCTGCCCTGCCTGTCCTTCCTAAACAGTATTCTTCCATTCCAATACCCAGTCATAAGAGTCATGCATATGTCTCTAACTCCTCTTGTTTATTCCCCATGCTATGTGTATTTGCATAGAGGCATTTAATTTGGGCCCTCAGTGAAGGTAATTTACTGGTTGGAATTCCTTTGTTGGCTCTTCAGGTGCTCTCCTGCTGACCTGTGATTTCTTTCCAGGCTCTGGGTATCTCTTGCTGACACTGGCACTAAACTAGTAGGAGTGGGATGGATTGAGGTTCACCTCCCACAGCAACTTTAGTTTAAATCCCTCTTCACCATCTTGGCAAGCCCATGGCCGAAGATGCTCTTCCCCTTCTCTGACAGAGAAACCCCCATTAGGTTTCTCAAACTGAGTCCCATAGTCCAAGTAGCTGAACCCCTGCCTATGGCATCAGTCCTGTAACCAATTGTTGATTTGTCAGATTCATCTAGCCCTTTCAAACCCCTTCCCTTTGACTGGGAGAACTGATGAAAAAAACTACCTGTGCTCCAGAGTCCCTTACCGCTGCTCCCAGGGTTCTGTAATCCTTCTGGAAGCTCCTCAGACAGCTCCTGGCTCTATCACTGCTGCCCATGTGAAACAGCAGAATATTCTCTGATACTGGTGATTCCTGGCAGTTTTCTGCAAAGCAGTGTTACCTAATCCATTTTCTTATACTTCCCCAGTCTCACTGCATAAAGGAAAACAGCAGCCCAGCTTCACATGCTTTCATGTATGTACTTTTCAAATTTCCTCAGCAATCCCTGGCTCACATAAACTCAATGAGTATCAGTGGAATAAAACCCACCAATCTGATGCCTGGCACCCTGCCCTATTTTGTCATGCCCTATTGCCTACTTCTCCGCCAAACTGACAGATTTTCCACATGCTTTACTGCAATAGTTGAGATCAGCAGAAGCACATGAGCTACATAAGTAGCAGGTACAAGATATTTTCATAAAGCCTGTCAGCTGTTGAATTTAATCTCATTCTCACCATCACTCTCCTCCCAAATAGCACTATTTGATTGACCTTCAGAGCACACTGCAAGACCTAGTTGATTTCCCTAGCTGAGAGAGGATGGAGGGATTCTAGTGGGAAATCAAAGATATTAACTGTATCTCCAGCTGCCAAATGGTGATTACAGGTTCATTATGAAGTGGCGATAGTCACTGGGGTAACCTACTTTTAAAATATATCAAGAAGCAGCTACAGCAAAGGAGGAGTAATGAAAATAGATACGAATGTAAACAAAATAATCACCTTGTACGTTGGTCTTCCTACCATTTACCAGTTCTGACACATTTTTCTTCTCTTCACATAACCCATGAAGAGCTGCAACTACTATTTCAAACATATCAGCATCCTACATCTACAGAGCAACTGGTGGGTAACACTTCACTAAAGACACTCTGGCACTACAATGGAAGCAGGAATCACAAGTGAGGAACCAAGGCCAACATGATAACCTCTGCTAGGCTTCTGCTGCTACACAGAGGAAGAAGCACCCACCTCAAGTTAGAAACAAGGAACCACCAATTAGTAGTAGGAGATAGAAAACAGCAGCAGAGATCTTTGCCTGGAGATGAAGGAAAGAACCATCTGAGTGGGGGAGACTGGAAAAGAAAGAATAAAATTGGAAGGAGAAAGACCACTGCAAAGATACAGCTAGAAGGCCCTGTAACATCTGCTCTTGAAAGATAACGGCCGGTACATGAAAGTTTGCATTCAGTATTATTTAATGCCTAGGTTGTGATTACACAGTGATTAAGATCAGCCCCTTATTTTACTGAGAGTAGAATTAATATAAATAATTGCAGTCCCTGCACACATAAGCAAAATGTTGTTAACTTAAAAAAGAAATTGTTTTTTAATAGCATTTTTAAAATACACCCAAGATAGAAGACAGATGCTGGTTTACCAACTCTGGGATTTCTTTGTGTCTTATTAAAGCATTAGAACTGAGAAAATGCTTTTCTCCTTCAAAGAAAGCTCTGTTAAGACCTGCGTATTCCTCTTCTTTCTTCTAAACAGACCAATATTTGGCACTGTATATTTCCTTCAATCTTCTCAAAATATCCCTAGTCTCTTCAAAGAAGCAAATAAAACAGCCTGCCTAAATATGTCTAACTTTTCAAGCCAATCTTCCTAGTCTATCGAGTACTTTGAAATGTTCATGCAGGCAGGCAGAGCTGTTTGCCCCTGAATTTTTACTAAAAAGACAAAAGAGAATATGTCAATTTCAGATGTTCTAAGAAGTGTCACTGGAAAAACAGAGAGTTGTCTGCTCCAGCACAGAGCTATGCGAGGCTGGAGGAACACAGTGGGGAGAAAAAACTGGGACAAAACAAAACAAAATGTTGCAGCACAGAATAGCTTCCAGCTGTGCACCACAGGGAACAACTTAATGCACTCTATCCACAATGTAGATGAAGAGTTTTATAAAACTAGAAAACAAACTCATTTTGAAGAAATAGCTGTCTGGACACAACAGACTGAAAAAAACTGACACTAAGCCCATTTGTCCAGAGGAAAATAAAATCGGAAAACAAATGTTTCGGTCCCCATTTATGTTAGCTGCCTTAACCCAATGTGCATTACAGTAATGTTTGTAGTCATCCTTTTTTCCTTTCAAAGGAAGTGGAAATGTCATTTTTGATGTTTCATGGTAGAGGTGGCTTGGTTTTACTTTCAGGTAATTCCCTCTCTTCATACTGAGTAATGTTACATACATGTTCCTGCATATTTGTGACATGTACCATGTCACAAAAGACATGGTACAAAACCCTAGCTGAGGGAGTTTGATAGCAAAGCTAACTCTAATCCATACAAAATAGAAGACGCATCTCAAAAAGGTTATACTGATTATCTAGTTACATTACCTTCTTTCTCCACAGCTTACAGCAATCCGAATCTGTAGGGCTTTTGTTTATTTTAACAGCAAAATGCAATCAGTTTTCCAGATTCAGTCTGAGAGAAAAAAAATTGCTATTGGCTCACCCCAATATTATATTGTATAAAATATATAAGCATTCTCCTAGCTTTGTAATGAATTTCCTTTTTCCTAGAGCTGTCACAGAAGGTTGTTTGCAAAGCAGAACAGGAAAAATAGACGTAAAGATGAAATCCCATCTCGACATCCACGGCAGGACTCCCACTGAATCAAAAACCCAAAGCACAAAGATTTAATGGACATCCCCTTTTCAAATGTATTTACATGCCCAGTCTGACTCGGGCACCCACTGATTTTCAAATGTATGTCTGAATTCTGGCACAAAATTTAATGTGCAAAATCCTAATTGTACAAATAGTTTAGCTGTAGAATGAGTGCACTATGCAAGAAGAACAAAGCAGCACTCTTTACAGTTATTTCCTTGTATTTGTTAGCCACATGATCTTCATTAAAACTTTTGAAATGCAGTAGCATGGTCCTGGTCAGCCAAGCAGGCCTAACAAGAAAAAGGAACTCTGAATGACAACACTGATCTACTGCAAACAAGAATTCTCACAATTCCTGTACTCTCTGTTCTTAAATAGCAAACATCAATTTACAACTTTCTCAAATGGCATGATATAGCTAAAAACATCCACTTTGTTCAGTTTCTAGATCTGAATACTGGCTCCTCCATATTCAGAAGACACTGTATGTGTACGATTTGTCTATCGTAGTTCTGTCTCACTGAAGGGAGGGGGAAAAAAAAGATTATGACACTGCATAAAAATGAAAGACAATGAAATCAGAATTTCTTAAAGGCAGAATAGAGCCTTGGAAAATTGGAGTGTCCAGGTGCAATTTACAGCTAACTTTGGTCTTGTCAAAGCTACTGACCTTTGCAGAAAAAAGCTGTTATACATTGTCTTCAACACTAAAGAATAAGAATCACATTACTACTTTTGCAATAACTTCAAAATGAACGTCCACTGAAACCACACTGCAGAATCAGAATTACTGTGCCTTTGAGTCTCCAACATCATCAGCTTAAACAGAAAGATTGAGATGTTTCCTGTGTTCTTTTACAAGACCACAAAAGATATATTATCAAGGCTAATAAAAGTCATCCATCTATTCATCATCATCTTCACTGATAAAAAAAATCCAAACTGAGTGTAACATTATGAAACCAAAGAGCAAATGGAAAAATTGATCTTACTATACATAAAAGATTCCATGCACTTACTTTTACCCCAAGGATTCAGATGAAAATGGTTTAAAATATGTTTCTCTCAGTTGATGAGCTTGAATAAACAGTAAGTTCAATTCATTCTTTGAGTGGATTTATTTGTTGCCATGCTGCTGTAATACTTTACAAACACACAATAATAAGGATTCTAAAAGTTTTAACATATTCTGGTAAAATGTGAGATTACAGATTAGGAATTTCTATGCTTTCCTAACATCATGTTCAGAGAATTAAAAACTCATTGAGGGTGAAGAGATTTTTTATCTAGCCTAAATCCCTGCTCAAGTAGGGTCACTAGAGAAGGTTGCCCAGGACTGTGCAGGTAAATTTTCAGCACCTTTAAGAATGCAGGCTCCACATCCTCTCGGGGCAACTTATTCCACTGTTTCACCACCCTCACAGTAAAAAAAGTGTTTTCTTATGTTTAAATAAAATTTCCTGTATAGTTATTTATGCCCATTACCTCCTGTCCTGTCACTGGATTTAACAACTCACTCTCAACTTTCCATAGAATAGAACAGGTTATCTCTATCCCATTTCCATACAGTCAGTGTTCTAAGGCACAAATGAGCTGAATAACTGGGGGGAGGTGAGGGGAAAGCAGCTTAATAAACTACAAAATTAAATTATATTTTTGTGTAGTCATACAGATTGTTGCTTCCTATGCACTAAGTCAAGAAACCCTTCAGCTTCATAGGACCATAATATTTTGAACATTTTGCATTAATATTATTGCATCCTTTTGTTCTGCTACATTGAAATAGTTGTTATATGTGTTTGTATGTTACATTTCTTCACCACATACTTTACTACAAAAGGACACACAAGTGCTGTAATA